GCGCCTCCTTTACCAGGAATGGGTGCACCTCCTCCTGCGCCTCCTTTACCAGGAATGGGTGCACCTCCTCCTGCGCCTCCTCTACCAGGAATGGGTGCGCCTCCTCCTCCGCCTCCTCTGCCAGGTGTATCTGCGCCGCCTCCAGGAACAGCTCCTCCTCCACCTCCTCCTCCTCCAGGTCCTCCGCCGTTGGCTCCTGGTCCTCCTCTGGCCTTCGGTTTGGGTTCTCTGCCTCCGCCGCTCCCGCTGGGTCTGTACGCATTAGGAGTTCCGCAGGAGAAACCGCCTCGCAAAAGCTTGGTGGAGCCACCGAGACCAATGAAACCGCTGTACTGGACCCGAATACAGCTGCACACCAAAAAGTACCATCATTCTACAGTCATTTATTTTTGTAATGCTGCTGTTTTGATCGGTTCCCCTCACACTAATCACCAGAATACCATAGTTACTGTAGTTTTTAATAAGGCAATAATCATTATTGCTCACTAGTTCTTATAGATAGTGATCTGAGTGATCAGATGCACCATTTTCAGCTGCTGAACCATAAAACAGATGAAAAAATACAGAGGAGGAGCCTGAGCCACATCTACAGACCAGAACACACTTTACATTCTAGTCAGAAAGAATGCACCTAGAGCACCCTAGCAACCAAATGCAGTGCCCTAGCAACACCACCCATTATAGCGTGATGGTCAATATTAATTACTGTAAATGATGAACATGTTGATTTCAGCTGCTGATTTTTTTTTTATTAAAATGTTTTTATATTTATAATAAATAATAATAAATTAACGAAAGCTTAAATAATAAATGATCATTCATTCATTCATTCCGTTTTCTTTTGTAGTTTTTGTCTATTTAATTTGTTTTGTTATATTTTTTTCATTTAATTGTCTTTGATTGTTTGTTTGTTTGTTTCTTTCTTTCTTTTGTAAAAAGATTGCCATGTGTTTTTCTTTTTCTGAGGAGTTGTTGATAAAGCAGGTGTTTTTCTCCCCTAAAGTCTGTTTTCCTCCGCAGGGACTCTCATGCTCTCGTGTGGGAGAAGATCGAAGAGCCATCCGTGGATTTTGACGAGTTTGTCGATCTCTTCTCCAAAACTGCAGTGAAAGAGAAGAAGAAGCCTCTTTCAGACACGATCAGCAGGTCAAAGACCAAGCAGGTGAGCAGAGACGTCCGCTGTTATGTCTGCGGCTCAGGATGAGGTTAGAGTTGGTACGAGTTTACGAGCACAACGAGACTGTTTCCATGACTGAGTCCTGACGTTTGTGTACAGACGGCGGCTCCTCTCAGAGTAAATGGCCAAGCGCTTGGCACCGCCGTGCACCGGATTGCAGCTCTGATTGGAAATATGACCGTAAAGAGCAGAACCGAGGAGCATAAATATCGCAAAGTGCTCCAAACGCTCGTGGGTTTATCAGATCTGTGTCAGACGTGCGTATGTGGAAACCACCAGCTTTCACATTCATATTCTCAGTCTGTTCCTGTAAAGGCTTGTATGTGGGAGTTTCCTCAACTATAGGAACTTTGTGCCACTGGATGGATTCCTGTTGAGCAGATCAATGTAAACAGATTCCAGCTTTTCTTTTCAGCTTTTCATCTATTTCTATAGCACTTTATGCAATACAGAATTTTTTTTGAAAAGGTAACTGCAACTTTTTTTTTATCGCAATTCTGAGAAACTCAACTGCAAGATATAAATTCATAATTGTGAAATATAAACTCAGGATTGCTAAGAAAAAAAGCAGATATTCTGAGTTTATATCGCACAATTCAGTTTCTTACAGTTGTGTATATCTTGTGTTTGAGATTGTATCTCGCTATTTTGAGTTTGTTTCAGTTCACCGTTTAAAACATGCAATTGCGTTTATTTCATCCCATTCAGAATTTATATCGTCCAATTTGCAGTTTATATCATGCAATTCAGAGTTTATCTTAGAGTTTGTGTTTATCTTGCATGTTTGAGTTTGTATCGCGGAATTGAGTTTCAGGGTTCCCGCGGGTCCTTAAGTCTTAAATTTGCTTGTACCAAATTTAAGGTAATAAAAAGTCTTAAATTGTACAAGAAAGTCTTAATTATGATTTCAAGAGGTCTTAAATTTGGGTACAGACCAGAATTAACATAAGATAACAGAAATAAACATGAGCGCTGCAATTTTCAAAGTCAGGTGCTGCTCTGCTTTGAGTACTGCGGTTACCGGGGAAACGGTTACAGGTC